TTCTCAAGTACATACTTTAATGACGACCATATATTTCTTTCGAAACAAGGCCTTGGGAGCTTTTCATTTTATTTTTCGCTTCCTCCGATTTTGTCAATAGCATTGACATACTAGGCAAATATCCTTAAACGATCAAATTTGTTTTTGATATCCAGATAACGCCTTAATCGCGTCGATAATCAAGCAAAAATCTTTGGTCAAAGAAATCTTTTTCGACTGTAAAACAATCAATTTCATTCACCAATGTCTCACGAGGGAACCTCTTCAGGTGTAAAATTGCTTTTTGCTCGAGACTATTACCATTAGAAAGGCCTTAGTGAGTAGTGAAAAAGTCCACAAGGGTTTCGGTGCATGGCCTTCTCTCATCGAGTTATGAGTGTTTTATCCGATTGTTGGTCTATGGACATAGCATTTTCGACAAACCCAATGATCGAATTTCGAGCTGAAATTTTGTCCATAGATAGGTATCATGGTCACTAGAAAGTTTCCACGGTTTGAGCCACACCGACCTCATCCTTGCAGAGATACTAGCTTGTCATGAAAATGTCCCTATTTTGAAACGCAGCCCCAAACAGGTGTTTCTTTAAAATATGAATATCTTGGTAAGGATGAGTTCATTTTAGCTCAAACTTTGGGGACTTTCTAGTGGCCATAATACCTATCTATGGACAAAATTTCAGCTCGAAATTCGATCATTGGGTTTTTCGAAAATGCGATGCCCATAAACCAAAAATTGAGTAAAACACTCATAACTCGACGAGAGAAGGCCATGCACCGAAACCCTTGTGAACTTTTTCACTACTCACTAAGGCCTATCTAATGGCAATAGTCTCGAGCGAAAAGCGATTTTACACCTGAGGAGGTTCCCTCGTCAGATTTGGAATCCTGGCCCTCGATAACCTACGGCAAAGTTCACTCAAAACGACCAAAAGTCTTAAAATAAGCTAACCTCTCTGGTATGTTTTTTTGACCCCAATCAAGCAAGATAACAAACAAACGCATTTTATTTCGTATGACCCTCCCTTCGGTCGAGGGAATAAGCAATTCTCGCCTTATTCGTTATTCATCGTATACCTTCATTATAAAAAAAAGTCAATTTTTGTTATTTGGTTTCTTGGAAAAAATTATTCAGCCCTTCATTGAGTAGGACAATAAATGCTTCGAACATTTCCGAGACTTACTTTGTCCGATAATGTTCTTTCTTTCGAAGGAGAAACTTTTTTCGAACTGGTTCGTCAGACGTGTGGAGACGTCTTTAAAGAATTGATGGAAGTACTCTCGATTAATACAGTATACAAATTACTATTGGCTAAAGATGATATTCTTCCTGTTTTCCAGAAAAACTATCGAGAACTGGAAAGCATAACACAACGAGCGTGCCTTCATCTCGATGATGGTACTATTATGCTCAAACCTGGTTTACGTTTGGATTTTGATCGTTTTATTGAAGCTCTTCATGCCGTAAGCGACCAAAACCAACAAAAAGAATCAACAGCAACTCCAAATAATAATATTTCTTCGTTGCTAAAATTATTAATAAATAAATATGAAATAAATGAAAATAATCATTTACAAGACAGCTATTCTTTTTTAATAGCTTTTCTTGAAAATATTTTCAGTAATCTTCAGAAAAATAAAAGTAATTATCGATATAGTGAAGCCGTATTAAACTTTGCACAAGCCCCGTTTGTGTTAGCAGGACGAAATGCCTACGAATTCGTCCGATTAAATCTGCCTGGCGCACTGCCAGCGTTGTCCACCTTGGATGATATCTTCGAAAAAGATGGTGCAAACATTGAAGAAGGCATATTTAGATATGACTTACTTTATCATCAACAAAATTCATTAGGCTATCAAATAGCAGTTTGTTCTGAGGATACGACGGCAATCATAAAAAAATTACTTATAATGCAATCAATAACACTTTCACAGGGTTCTCAACCCCACTGAAAAATGGCGTTTCTATTTCGCGTCATTTTCAGACTGATTCTTTTGATCAGTTAAAATATTGGTTTGAGAATAATGATACATCGAATTACTTGAATATTCATATGGTTCAGCCACTCATGGCATCTGATCGACAATCGTCGCCATATCTACTGGCCGCCTATGGAATCAGCAACACGTTTACAGCCATTGATATTTTTAATCGATGGATGTGGATATTCGAAAGTTCTCGACAATCGAATGTTCGTATCGTAGTCTTTGCTACTGATTGTGATTCCAGAACTAAAGATTGATTTGTCAAGAGACTGGTTAATTTGGTTTTTTATGAAAACTAGTCAAATCTTTTTCTGTTTTCAAGATCCTACACATTTGTGCACAAAGCTTCGTAACCGTATACTTTCTGAAATTGCATCAATGTTGATTGGAAAAGAAAATGTTTCCATCGAGGTTTTGATGAAGCTAATTCATAGTAAATCAAGATTTGAACATGGACTTGTTAAGACGGACATAGATCCGAAAGACCGGCAAAACTTTAAGTCTTGTCTCAAGCTTGTAAGTGATGATGTAATCAATGGTCTTCAGGATGTTGATGATTCTCAAGCTATACCAGTTTATTTGCTTCTGTTGCGGAGTATTATTGTAGCCTATGTTGAGCCTAATGCATCGATTATTGATCGCATCTATCGTAGTTGGCTAGCAGTATTTTTATGTCGTGTATGGCAAACCTGGTTACACATAATTGAAGAAAAGAATACTTTAGAATATTTTTTGAAAAGAAAAAAAGGAATTTGTTTATCACTAATCCTGCACATTTTTTAATCGAGCTTAATGCTCATAGTTTACTTGGTATTTGTCTTCTCGTGTATCAGCATGACTTGCCTGAATCTGCTCTTTCCATATCAGACTATTATTCACAGCCATGCGAGGCTACTTTTCAACTTACCAGATCAATGTCAGGAGCTTTTTCTTCTGTAGTAAATTTTACTACTGAACAATTTCTTAAACGAGCCGGTAAGCTCTCTGTACTAACCGAGCTAGAGAACAAAAGTCAATCTGGTCAGTTGAACTGTCCATTACAGTTTCCAAAGCATGACAAACGACGACAAAAAAGAATTGCTTCGAAAAAGTTAGTTTCAAATTTATCTAGTGATTTTCTTACATATGATAATATTCAAACAACTATTTCTCGAGCTTTTGATCATGCTTATCATCTTCTCTTCGGACTTGATGTTAATATTGCTTTAGAAAAAAAGAAAAAAAACTACATTGAAATAAGTAAGTTCTTTTGTGCGAACCCAATTCGAAAAAAAGTTCAAAACAATATCAGCTGATAGTAGTCAAATCTATTCATCTGATGGTAATCGGATGATGAATCAGAATCTGATGTTTACATGTTATCGAAATCGGAGGAGTACAGTTCGTCTGAAGACGAAACTGATGACGTACCTCAAATAACAACAAATGGTAAGTCACAATGCCGAGGAATGAGAGTCTTTGACACCATATCTCTTTCATTCACCAATTCCTTCTTTTGTGTCGAGATTGATGGTAAAAAAATACATTCATAAGCAAACAGCCTGTTGACTTTTAACAGACAAAGAACCTATCTTGTCAGCGGATCGGCTTAAACATGTTCAACAGTCGAGTCGTTGAGTAGATAGGAGACTACATAACATAAACTATAGATTTATTTCTTATGAAATTGGTTTTTTTTCTTGCTGCTTGTTATTCTATATTTTTGCTTTTTTTTCAATAAAAATTACGAAAAAATAAACTACTCTGTTGCTCCAGCGGACTCCATACCCATCATCATAGGTGACGTGTGTAGACTTCTGACGGCAGCAGCTTTTTTTTTAATTGTTTAACTCAATATTTCTATTTAAATGATATAATAAAGGCTCTCTTGCTTCTATACCTTGTCTCTACAGAGCTTCCAAGAGCATAAGAAGACTTCTACAAATTGAATATAGGCTTTAGAAATACAATATGAATTCAGAGAAGGCCATGAGATTCTCAGGAATTCTGTAGGGATCTCGCGGGAAACCCGAAAATATCAGGAATTCCGAGAATATGAAATCCGTCAATTCTCCTTGCCTTGACGTCTACACAGGTCAAGCATACGAAAAAAGTTCGCCTACGAAATGATTTTCCTCAATAGTTTAATGCACCTTTTGTAACCATGTGATAAAGCAGTGAAGTCTTGATAGTGAGCTCTGTGAGATTTTCAGGACGAAGGTGAGGATCATTAGAGGTTAAATATGAATTTCGGGACTCTCATTTGTGATTATAAAAATTCCGAGAATAGAGGAACGCGAGATTCCCATAGGATTCCCGAGATTCTTGTGGGATTCCCGTAATTCACATGGGATTCCGAGAATACAGGAACCCCATGGGAATCACGGGAATCCAACGTGAATCCGGAAATTCCATGAGAATCCTGAAATCCCATGAAAATCCGGGAATCCCATGGAAATCCGGAAATCCCGGGAATCCGAAATCCGCCGTTTCTCCCTTGATCTTAACATTCTATTTGGTGCAAGATAAAGTCGCGTTTTCTTTAGTTTCTTATTCTTTTTATTATTTGTATTATATTGTGCTGACTCTTCATCAGTTAAATCAATTTCATTTTGATCAATATCTTGTATATCAACAAGTGGAGCAAATCGATTATTTTGAACAAATTTATTTCGACGACTTAGTTGTTGTTGTCGATTTCGATCTTGACGACGTCTAAAGAATGTCGTTGTATTTTATTGTCGTCGATTTTGTTGCTGATTTTCTTGTTCATTTTGATTAACTACAAATGGTTGTGTACTGTTATTTCTAAAACTTTCACATTGTGGTAATGCATCAGGTGAAATATTTGTAGTTATTGTTGTTACCAAATTAAAATCTGAAGGAAGACTTCGAGTATCTGGTGAAGGATCACGTAACTGTGGTGACATAAAATCATTTAATCTTAATTACCTTGGACCACGTGTACGTTGTTGTCTTAATTGACTCATTCCCTGTTGGTTTGAACGACTTCTTCGTTGATTTGAACGACTTCTTGGTCAATTGAAACGACTTTCTGGTCGATTTTGATTTATTCTTCTAATTGGTCTCTGATAAAATCTTCCTTGTCGTGGTGTTGGCCGACTTATAATACCATAGCCACCAGCATTATAGCCATTATAATAACGCTGTGGTTGATAATTTCGATTATAATAAATATTTCGATGATAAAAATGTTTTTGATTGTATAGATTGCCTCTATTCGGATAATTTCGATAATTATATGGGTTGCCCCTATAACTATATTGATTGCTCCTCCTATAATTGAACTGGCTATCCCCAAAAACACCACCACGACGACGTGAATTCATGTATCTTTGTGGTGGTGGTAGTGGTGGTGCATTTGTTTGTTGCAATGGTATTTGATTAGTATAAGTGATTGTCGACATGAATCGTTGAATAAGTTGAGAGATAAATGGATCAAATTGGAATAATATTATTCAAATAATTTGATGCCTGATACAATTGGGTGTACGTGAATCAATTGCAAACAGATCGACCTATATGTCTATCATACAAATCAATCTGCTGTTCTCAACTCTTGCTTTTCAGCAATCGACCTAGTCGAAAGTCAAATTAAAATTAAATATCAACAAATAAATTGTGCTTTGATTAAAATAATTGAAAAGAAATGCAGAGTTAATTTCGCCGACGCATTTCGTATCTTTTATAAGATAGTACTCTTCAGAGCTAGAGATATATGTACTTATCTGCAATAGAAAATAAAAAAAGATTATTATCATATTTCAAAGCGAAATTAAAACATAGATAGAGAACATAAGAATTAATGTGTTTTATTTAAGAGAATTAGAAGCTTATGAAGTTGATAAGTCCATGTGTTTGACAAAAATGAAATATTTTCATGCATCCTACAATAGAAGAATATACTTGTTAGTACAAATGATGAAGATAGATAAATCTTTACTTTTTGTCCGAAATGATGTTCTCTTATATAATCTATAACTTGTTGACGACTCCATTTTTCTTGAATAATCATTGAAAGTTTTGTTATTGCTAAGCATGCATGACGATTATCATTCCCCTTATGTAGATTTTCATCGAAAGTGTATGCAATAGCCATCCATATTGACCACTTGTCTATCTGAGATTTATATGGTCGATGTGCACAGGAACATAATGGACCATCCATATCAAGAAAATGAAGTATCTGACTACAACTTTCGTTATGAGGAAAAGTTCTATTATACCATATCTTAAAATCTTGTTGTATATTAACAAATTAACTTGAATACTATTCGATGAATCGAAAATGGTTGAGAATAGTTCACTAATTTTCTCGTACAAACAAGTATAGTCTCGAGATATTTCAATATGAGTAAATATTGATTGAGATTCTTGGATAAATTCTATTTCCATTAAATTGTCTAAACAGAAGCATGTAAATTTTTTTGTTTGCTTAGCTTCAGTTATTAATTCATCCACTACAGTTGGCAATGATCTTGGATTAATACTGATGAATTTGTATGGTTTTAATGGTACGAAAGTTGCTAAATCTTTCATTTCTTTATGCTTCTTCGTTTCGATATTATTCATATTTATCTTCAATATTTGCTTGGTTGAAGATTGAATGATAGATATAACATTTTGTAATTGATAGTAATTTATTGCAGTATTTATACAGATACCAAGGAACGCTAATATCAGTAAACCACATATCATATTTATCCATTGTGTTAATATTGAACCATTATTTGAATATGTTAAAGGTCCATTGTGACCAACAACATGTTGAATATTTGAAAAACAAAACACAATCGAAAATAGGTACGAATAGAATAGATGGCTAATCATTTTAATTTATGTCTAAAAGAAAACTATTCAATACAATTACGAATAGACTGACCTTTGTATAAAAAAAAATAGAATGTTGAAATTCTTTTAAATATGTATTAATTAGACAAGCTATATCATCGATAGATTCGTATTGGGTGTGTGTAAATCAATTAGAAAACAGATCAACCTATCTCTTAATAAAAAGACAAGTACAATCTGCTAGTCTCAACGCTTTCTTTTCAGCAATCGATTTCCCTGTCGAAAATTAAATTAGAATGAAATAAATATAAATACATATGCTTGAATAAAAATTAATTTAAAAGAAATGCAGATTATTTTCGCCGACGCGTTTCGTATCTTTTTTAAGATAGTACTCTTCAGGGCTAGAGATTTCTATATCTAAAATAGAAAACAAAACAAAAATGTTTATTACCAGATATTTCAAATATAAAGCAGACATATCATTTAATTTGTAGAGTAAAAAGCACAGTGAATTCAAATATGAAAGACAATGCAAGAAAACATATTCACTTGTGTTTAGTTTCGTATGATTTTTAATCTAAAATAATTGAATATTAATGAATAAATGTTGCATGAAAATTTTTAAGCAGAAACCAACTTAGGATTAAAATAATTCAAGAATATTAAATGAATGAAAGAAGTACAATAAGAAAAAGAAGAAAATTGTTCAAATGCAAAGAAAGTAAAAATCAAACTGATAAAATAAATAGAGTATATCTTGTGTTTTGAAACATGCAAATATATGCTACGAACATATGTATGCCTATGGAATGCTAATAGTTTTGAAAATCTTAATTAATTTGAATGACGTACTAAATTAGCACACCATATACCATGCCGAACATTCATATATCCAGTACGATCAACTACATGACCTAACACATTTAATTTTGCTTCCGTATGTGTAACGAATAATGAATGAACAATATGCCGAAATAAATCTGATGTATTTGCTGGTAAAACAGCAATAATAGCTGCATGATAAATATCAATCTGTTCATAAAATGGATTTTTAATCATATTCTTTTCAAAGAATTCAATTTGTTGTTCTATTTGACGTTTTGAAAATTTATATCCTTGAGGTGGATTTCTTATATTATGAAGATGTTTTTCGATATTTCGATTTGGATGAATATTCGTCTCTGTAGTTGTTGTTGCTCGCATATTATGATAGCGAGAATTATCTTGATTAGCTTCATCAATTGGCAGTGGTACAAATCTCCAATAATCTTCATTTCTATATAAAAACATTTATACGGCTGCTGAACATTGCGTCGAATGTTGATATAATAACATATTTTCTTTGTGTAATGACGTTGATTGTTCTTCTGTAAGTTGAATATGCTTAAGATTATTTTCACCAACTAAAAATTTACGTATAAGATTATTACCAATAAAACGATGACCACGTAATCGAACATTCAATGCAAATTTTGTATCACTAATAAATTCAAATTGACCACATACACATGTTAGAACATAAATATAATTTTTTGTATTACATGTTGCTGGACAATTTAATTTCGACTCATATCCATTGACAAATCGATGTCTTTCATAACGATTAAATAAGACTGGTGCTTGCTGACGATAATTGGTATCATTCGATTGTTGACATAAATTACAATCACCACATCTTGACATTGTATAAAGACAATCAGGCATATTTAAACACAATATACCTTCAGTTATCAATCTTGGTTGTGCATCACGAAATGAACATGTTTTCATATAGAAAAGATCAACATCCATTTGTAAAAAGAATTCAAATAATTGTGGAAATTCTGTATCACTTAAATATAAAGGATCTTCTGAAAGTTTGTCAGTTGATAGAATTCGTAGACGAGCACTACGATATAATTTAAGATAATTTTTTAAAAGTCCATAATTATAATCTAAAATGGCTACATCAACCTTGAAACGTTCAAGTATGGGACCAAAATATGTATAATAATTATTAACCATAAGTGATGTTACTGATGGATCATAATTTGAAATTGTAAAGAGTGGTTTATATTGACCAGTTTGACGACGTACCAATTCTTCGGATGATAATTGAGCCATAGGTACATTGGCTAATAATAAATGTACATTGGTAGTATTACCCGTTGTTGGAAATTTAGGTAAAATTGATAAACGTTGTTGATTAAAAAAATGAATTGTACGTGATATATAATTTGACTGATAATGAAGAGTTGGCGATTTTTTTGGTGTTACCAAATCGATCAGTTCAATTTCTTGTGCTCTTGCTGTTGTTGTTGTTGTTCGTTGCCTTCGAGCTAATGAACGCATTGGTGTCGATGGTAGTGGTGGTAGTAGAACTAATTGTTGTTCATTTGTTTGTATTACATCTGAATGAACATGTTGTGCCATTGATGTAGAAAATTCTGCGTCCATTAGAGTATCATCCTTCTCACCAGCCTCTTCATCCGATGTGAATACAACCGATGGATAACGTTGAAAATTATTTAGAGACATATTCCAATTGACAATAATTGAATAGATGATTGGAGAAATAAGAAGAATGAATCTGGAATAAGCAAAAATCATTGGTGAATAATATTATACTGAACATGAAACACTACAAATAAGATAGAATGTAAAAATAAAAGACAAACAAACAAGACAAGCGATAAAAAGAAAAATTCAGTTAGTAAAAATTGTTAGAGTTGTGGAAGAATCGATGCAGTCGAACTGTTATCCTTATTATAGAAGGGTGTGGGTGTGGGTGTGTATAAGTTACCACGATAACCTGTGTATAGATTATTTCTGATGTTTCTAACTCAAAATCTTATCAAGTGGTCTACAGTCAATGTCTCCAATAAGAACAGACTTTTCAGAGGTGCCAGTAATTTGCTTTTTTACTGATTAAATTTTTAAAATTACAAAGTATTTTTTACATTTCTGGATGCAGAAATGTTTGCTACATCGAATGATGCAAAAACTATTTTATTATCTCGTAAATTAAACCTATAATTAGCGGTATTTTACAAGTAATTGAATTTGTTCCTATTAGGGTCGCTTGTCCTAATAAGAACAACAAGCCAAACACTGTTCCTAATAAGAACAGACCATATAAAATATATAGAAAAAACATTTTTTTAGTAAACGAGCTTTTTCTAATTTGAACTTGAAAATATCGATATATTCCCGAAACAAAAAATGTTTGTTATTAATCATAGAGTTAAAATTTCAAGGTTCAGATTTTTTTGATTTATAATAACAGAGTTATTAAATTTTAAAAAATAACTCGTCTGTTCTTGTTAGGAACGCTGTGCCCAATAAGAACAACCAGCGAAAAATATTCCTAATAAGAACAGTCTATATAAATCACATAGAAAAAAATGTTTTTTAGTAAATGAAATTTTTTCTTATTTAAACTTAAAACTTTTTTGTACTTTCGTTACAAAAAATCTTTTTCTATTGATGATACGTTAATATCCAGAGGTTCAGTCCAAATGGATGTTTCTGATAGCGCATCTGATGATATTTACGTTAATGCTTGTAAGCGGAGTTGTTTTGTGAAACACGATCTGAAAAGGAGTGTCGAAGTGTTTAGGGGTAGAAATTTGGACCCTCCCCCTCCCCCCCACAGACCGTGACAGGCAGGGTCTGGATCCGTTACAGGCCGTGACAGACAGGTCTCTGGGCCCATCACAGACCGTGACAGACACTCACATGACCTGTTACAGACCGTGACAGATAGGGCTTCGGACCCATCACAGACCGTGACAGACAAGGCTTTGGACCCATCGCAGACCGTGGCAGACAGGTCTCTGATGCCATCACAGACCCGTGACAGGCAGGGCTTTGAATTCATCACAGATCGTGACAGACAGGTCTCTGGACTCATGACAGACGCGGCAGACAGGTTATCGATCCATCACAAACTATGGCAAACAGGTTTTGGACTCGTGAGAGACAAGACTCAGGGATCATTATAGACTGTCATAGAGGACTTCAAGGAAATATCAGATATGATGCATACGTAATATGTGATTAAAGCATATATGGAGTATTATACTTTTGAAAGTATATAATGTAAGGTAAGCCATTATGAAGAAATATACATCAGTATGCATAAAAAATACAACAGCTTTTAGAATACCGGCCATAGCAACTACATCGTGTTTCACATTTTTAATCCCGCACGAGATTGCGCTAACAGCTTTTTACAGCATTTCTAAAATTATTGATATATGATTTTTGACTGAAGGATTCAATTTTTTGCACCTATCGGTATTGAAAATAATTAAATACACATCTCTTGCGTATGATTGATTATCATGTCAAGAATGATATAGCACAACTCACCGACATCTATCGAATATGTATTACATGTCATGCAAAGTACGCAGTACCAATATGCAGAGGTGTTCGATAATACTGTTTTATATTAATTAGTTAATTTCATTAAATAACTTCAATCATTTGATGAAGGTCTCAAATGCAAAATATATGCAATATGATTGTATGGGAGATGATACCAATAGTAAAAAGATCGATATTTTCGTTGGTGGCTGTTCAATTACACCAAATTCAAGCGCAACAAACGTATATATCATTACTAATTTTACTACTTTCGTATGATATTATTGTTTTGAATTAGAATTTGTATTATTATTATTTAATTATTCACGTGTTGATACATTTTTTTTTTGATGTAATATTTAATAATGGAAAGAGGAAATTATAGTAAAGAAGATTTAATAAAAGCTATTAATGACTTTAAAAATGGTTTTACATCAGCTGCAGTAGCCGCAAAATATGAAATTCTAAGTAGTACAGTACGAAAGCACAACTCTAATCCTGAACTTAGAATTGGTGGCGGACATCCAACATTGTTATCAAATGAACAAGAACAATACTTGGTACAACTATTTAAAAATCTGGAATTTATCGATGTTCGATTGACAAAAAAAGTAGTTTTGGATTTAGCATCTGATTATGTTGGACTTGTATGAAGCAACGAATACACTTAAAACCAATAATGATATGAAAATAGATGACTCTAAAATTTCATGATATTACCTCACGGATCATTCACTTCGTCTATTTCGTACATTTTCAACTGACTATCATATGAGTTGTAACAGTTATGACTTGTTAGTTCATATATTTTAGCGCTCTTTAATATTAATAGATACCTCGTAAAATTGACTTGATCTTTAAAATCTACCAGATGATAATCTCAAGAAAAAGAAGAACGAAGAATTATAAATTCCTTTAAGAGAGATTTAATCGGATATCAACAAGATTGTGCATTCTTTGACAAGAAAGAGAGAAAGTATATTGTTGTTTATACTGTTATGCAATCGCTATGTTTTTCTCATAGACAAGATTAATGTGCCAAGGGATATATCACCATCACACGAAACGGTCAATAATGTTGCCACCCAGTGATGGACGCCCTTTTCTATGACTCCTTACTCCTCTGTGAACACTGCATGTTCTCCCTTTTCCTTCCTCTTGAACTCAATATTTCTCTCCTGATTTTTTCTTTCTCTCCTTGATTCGCCTCTTTTCTCTCTCTCTCTCGCTCTTACTCATTTTCTATACGATTAATTGGTTAAAGGTTGGTGTGTCAAGGAACACATTATCGAGACAAGAAAATGTCCATCAAAGATATATCAAACGAGTTATGTCATTTCTTACGTCATGGCATTGGGATCATAACAATTCGACGTAACAAACTTAATGGAATTGGAAACAAGATGATTGTTGCCTGTTTTATCGACACTCACTATCCTTTTTCACGCAGCGCATTATTTTTTTCTCCGTGTTCTTTTTTCTCTTCCTCTTTAGTATATTAGCTCATGATATATGTGAGATAGATGCACTTGGATGTAGATCATAGTGGAATAAACATGGTGTTATAAGACACACAAAACTATGCCTCTCCATTTGCTATAACGATCAAGGTGGAAGCAGCTCAATCAACATCAATGCTGTGCAAGACAATAGAGTGACGCACTTCTTCTCTTTTTCGTTACAATTAGTATGAGAAGGAAAGAAAAGAAAGATCTTCATTCTTATTTATCTTTGCAGCTACTAAGGGAAGCAATAGTTAGAAAGAATAAATGTTATACTTATACTGATTGCTTGACGTGGCTATATGTTGCTTTGCCATTACTTCTCTCTGATATTGTATGTATATATAGTGGGACAAAAGATCGACCAGTACAAAGAATAACTGTATCATAAGTCAGAAATGGCAGTGATGGTATCTCTCATTGTAAGTAACTTTTACATATACAATCTGAGCTTTAAATAAATGTTTTTTTCAAACGATTATTGGATACAAAAACATATCAAATCTAAATTAACATCAGTTCTTCGATAATTCCAAAAGATATCTGTTTTTATTAGTTAAAGTAATCTAAAGAACAGGATTATCAGTACACTGATATTCAATATAAGATTTTTAATAAGATTTTCAGAAAAAAAATGAAGAAAATAATAAATATTAATGAAAAATAAATCTTTAACTATATTCATATTAAAATATGAATATTGTTCATATTTTCAATATTTTATTAGTAGCTTTTGATTAAATAATGTTTTATTTTGATTTATACTATTTAACAGTGATAAATGTATTAATTTATTGTTCGTAAATTTACTATATTGATTCTTAAAGATTTCTTCATTTGATAACCATATACATATATTAATTAAAACGATAGGATTTTAAAGTCTATCTATTCCTATTCTTCAGTAAATATATCGTTCAGTTTTTTATTTATTTTTAAAATAATATGAAGTAGTTGAAGTTCCACCCATACTATCATAAAAAAATATCTTCAATAATTATATACACTTGATGCTGTTGAATTCGATTTAAATACAAATCATATTTGTTTTAATAATGAGTCATGATGAGTACATAATGAGTGTCTACATGAAAATGCATGATCTTTGTTTTTTAATATAATCAAAAGTTAAAATGATATGTTCCATCCAAGTATAGAAATTTCTTTATTCGTAATTAAGATGTATATGTATCGTTAAAATTTGCATTCAGCGTTATATGCGATTTGAAGAATAGTACCATTTAACTATCTTCATTTTCTGCGTATATTTCTTTAAAATAATTTTTTAATTTACTATTTTTGTAGAAAACTCTGCAGTTTGCGGTGGTACTTCACATCGTGAGAGGAGCTCTTTTTAATAAATCACAAACAATGTCATCAAGTCTATCTATGATGAAACAGACCGGTAATTTTCATACTTCACACAATAATGAAGTTTTCTTATTGAACGTGGGTGGAGAACTAATGTATGCTACACGAGATACATTGACTTATATTCCCAATACAGTTCTCTCGTCAGTCATTCTCTCGACAACCGAAAATCGTTCAAAATTAATTCAACACGATGAAAATGGACGTATTTTTATTGATTTACCGCCTATTTTATTCAAACATGCGTTGGAACAACTACGTCGATGGAAGAATCGAGGTAATATATCGGCTGATAGAGAAATTCTGCCACCTTCATGGCATGTTAAAAATGAATTCGATGAAATGCTCATTTCACTCGGTTTGGCCAAATACAGACAAAGTAAGGAATATTACGTTTATACAAAAATCGTTGTATCATTTTATTATTGTTTCCTATTCTAAATAATTGAATGATATTATCAATCTGTTCGATATCTTTTTTTGCTTTTACTTAGATTTACCAATCGAATGTACGTTATATAATGTTAGTGATGATCCATCACGTCACGTGGGTACAGGTGGAGGTACGCTTTGTGATCGTGATCTTGTGGGTTGGACACGATTTATTGATCGAGCCGGTAATGTGATTGTTCGACAAGCACCAGGTATAGGCTGTGGTGGTCAGAAATCTGGTTGGCTACTAGGTACTTATCCCACAGAACCTTGGACAACGACACTTAGTACTTTATGTTATACAGATGAAATGCGCATACCGTGTCGAGCTTGGACACCAATTCGAACTACACATTGTGGTAGTTTTCTAGTCTTTGAACTGCGTTCGCCACCGTTTTGTCCAGCACGTGTTTGTACTGATGATTACAATCTAAATTAAAACCTGTTCATGTATTCTTATTACTCACTCATTTTGCTTCTTTTATATGTAATTTTCTCATCAATCTATAAATCTACCAACGACAAAATCACTGCGAATGGTATTTTTGATGTTTTAGATCAAAAATACCATTCGCAATGATTTTGTCGTTGGTAGATTTGTTGTACAATTAGCTGGTTACAAGGAAAAGGGGTCTATTGATGCTCTTCCTTCTGTGCTTATCTTTTTTAATATTTCTCAGATAAATCAATGTGAACATGCTATTAGATATAAATTCATTACCAACATTCAATCCTATGGAACATCTGACACTCTTAGCAGTAACTTGCTATGTATCTATGTACAGAACTTAAACAAATACTATGACTGCAACGATCCTCAATTGTGACATACTCAAGCTGAGGGAAAAATCGATCCATCAAGGCCAATTATGAATACCGGCATAGAATATCAATAGTTGTTCTTGACTCTAACTTCGCGTATTTGTTTTTTTCTTCTTCCAGCCATTTCTTATATTTTGTGTCCACCACCTCATTCTTTTTAATCATACATGTTACTCTGTTCACTTTTCTGTCTGTCTTCCTTTGTAATTTAACAAATGAAGAATGATAGATTGTAATGTATATGAAAGAAAATTTTTGAATGCAAATATTGAAAAGACTTCATTTACTAAATACATCTTAAAATTCTGTATATTTGATATAGGCTACTCTTATTGAGAACATTGTCCATAGATGTCTTTCACTGTTCTGCAAGCCTTTTAAAAAAATAATGAAAATCTGAATCATTTTTGTGTTTTATTTGTGTTCTTGTCTTAATAAAATGTGCTCGAATATGAGAATTTAATAGTATTAATGATATAATCGTGTCAACAGTTTTGTAGTTAGTCATTTTTTTACAGTTTACGTTCTTATTATATTCACGTCAAATAGACCACAAATTACAAGATACACGTTTATCCAGTCATTATTTTACACAAACCTCACGTAGTAAGTCGGTAAGTTATCATGCTTTTTACACACTTCATCACAATTATTTCATACTAAAACTGCCATTAAAGAACGAAATACTATCGTTAAATCGAGTATTCGTACAGAGACATTTTCATCAATTTGTTGTTTGAAAATAAACTTTTACTCTAATTATATCCACCAGTTTACATCTCGAACGATCGACTTCTGATTAGAAATTCATCAGAAATTATAGCCCATTTTATTTTCTGTTTTATGTTACTATATTTCGATCCCACTGACCTAACATAACAGCTTTATTCTGAATTCGATCCGCATGATTTATGATATTCCTGCCAATCATTTCCAGCAGTCAGATAAACTTGTCATTAGAACTTGCATTGTCTGTAAATTCGTCGACAAAAAAACATTTCGCTGACTAATATTGAAACATTTTGTCGAACAATAAATCACACGGAGCGAGATTTGTTGTGTTATTCAGACTTTTTTATAGCAGTTTCTCAAAATAACAACTTGATCTGTCATAAAATAGATAAGGCGAGCTGCTATTTATTGGCGAAATAGTAGCAACTCGTGAAACTTTGTATTTAATTGGGTTCTCTAAGAAGAACACGATAATATTTATCTCGCTTGGTGAGATACTTTTTCACATATCAAACATCTTTCTTATAGTTAGAAGAAATTGATTTCGATCTAGAAGAAATGTATGCCTGTGGTTTTGATTGGGTTGTTAAATGATGGTATTGAGTCGATAGACTCCGCAATTTTAGAAATTTTAGATTTTCAATATTACAAAAAAAATCGATGTATTCATGGAAAATTTTAGAAATTTGAAGGCCTAGTCCTTCATTTTTCGATACTAATTTTCTTTTCGCTTCTTCATACTTGTGTTTTCTCAGGAAAGTCGCTGAGTTGAACAAATAAATCCCTTCTTCTCG